ATGCATGATAACCCTGTGGAAAAAGAGAGCAGAAGATAAACCTTCACTACTCCTCCATCCCCCGTATTCAATATATTAAAGGTAGAGGAACAGGAGGTAATGTATGGGTAAAAAAAAAAGAGTAGTAGGTTCAGAATAACAAGCATGCATCAAAGCATGTATGAATGAGAGAGGAAAAGATATCTACTGAGACTGAGAGGCCAACCCCCATTTCAAGCTCTTCCTTTAAGAAACAGTCAGTTGGCTGCATCCACCATAGGATGTGATGCATACATCAGTTAAGTAAATTTCAGTTAATAAAATTTGTACTTATCACTGTCAACCTTGCACATAGGACTAACATTTGTATACCTACTGTTTGGCTACAATGAAGGAGCATGTACATGCTATTGCTCTGGAAATAGTTAATCTGCATAACACATTCCCATTCTTTATTCAACTTCCATGTTTTGAAAATCTGAATTTGTTTCATGCTGAAGTTTGTCAGGATTTTAAGGTTTCATTTCTTTACAGTGAAAATGTTTTTACTCCAATATTTATATTTTTTTTCCTGAAGAGCTGTAATAGTACTTTTGGACTTTCTACAAAAATTATATCATAAATCATCTGATGTATCATTTATCATCTGATGTATCATTTATCATCTGGTTTATCTTATATCATCTTATATCATATATCATCTGGTATATCATATGACATCAGCTATATAATATGTCACGAAATTTGTTTATCTAACCAGCATTTAAACTTCCAACTATAATTATATTTTTCCTTTTGCTGTGTATCAGGAGATGAGTAATCAGCTTGCAAAGTTATCCCTCTGTGCTTGTGGTCGTTTGGCTGGCCTGTATACCAAGGAGGAAGAAACGACCCCTTCCAACACAGTCATTCATGGGGTCCTGCAGAAGCTCCTAACACCCTATGTTGTCTCTCTCATACCTGCAATGTCGTCAGAAGAGGTTTGTTATAAAGTACATTCATATGAAATTTTCAGTGAAAAACAATATAACAACAAACAGGATTCATGAAAACAAAAAGAAATACAATTTTTTATACTCTTCATACCAATGGTTCTTAATTAGCTTTTGAAAAAAGAATGAAGAGACTATAACCATGATGAATGTTTAACAAAAGAAATCTTTCCAAGGTTATGAATTTTTTTTTTTGTCATTTAATTGTCATAGTCATAGTTATTTATTATTGTCTGCAAGGAGCTATTTTTAGTAGACCTTTACTTGGACTGATGTTATCCTTTCTTTGTGTTTGTGAAATGTGTAATGTTATATATATATATATATATATATATATATATATATATATATATATATATATATATATATATATATATGATATAACCAAAGATTATGCTGGTTTCCTTTTTTTTTTTTTCTTTGTAAGTGTAAAGAGAATCATCATGCCAGTGAAAACATAGAGTATCCTTTAGGATACTCCTTTTTTCTTTCTTTTTCTTTCTATTTTTTCTTCTTTTTTTCTGTCTTTTCTTTTAGTCTGTCAGTCAGTCAGTCAGTAAGTAAAGTGAAGCTAACATCATAACATTTATACCATCTGAGTAATGTGCATTTATCTCTTGACACATATACACCCCTATATTTACATATTGACACATCCACATACTCATACACACCACTATGAACAGATCCCATCAACTCAAAAGCAAAACCTATAGAAATATAAGTCTCTCTTTAGTTCTCCTCATCTTCTCTATCTCTATTTCTTTTCTGTTCTCCTTCACCCATTCAACCCTGCCCCCTTTTCTACTTTGCTCTTCCCTCAAGCTTTTAAAACTAATACCATTATGCCTTACAGGTGTTGAAAATCCTCACAAGTAATGTGCAAACTCCATACCTCATCTGGGATAATGGAACACGCACGCAACTTATTGACTTCCTAACTGAGAACCAGCAGGCACATGTGCGCACTGGACAGTCTGACCCAGAATATGGGGCGGCATTTGAGTTTGATGCACACAAAGATGAGCTCATTATTGGAGGAGTCTTCATACGTGTATATAATGAGCAACCAACATTCCTTATACAGGTAAGGAGTCACCATAGGTTATTTTAATGAATTCAGCATCGCTTTTGAAAATAGTAGTTCCATTATGTCAAGCAGTTGAAGAATATTTTGCCAGGTAAGGTTTTTCTTTTCTCTTCTTTTTCTTTCTCTTTTACTTTTCCTTTTTTTCAACTACTTCATCTTCTTTTCTTTTTACCAAGTATTGAGTTCAATTATTCCTCTTAAGTATATAAACACTGCTGTCTGTCTATTATTTGTATGTTCAGTTATCAAGTGCAAAATTTGTGCATATAAATAAATATGTTTAACTTTTATGTACTTAACCCAATAACTATGTAGCTAAATTTTCTAGCTCACTCTCATTTACATAATTGAACAAGAAATGAGAGAGGAGCCTAGAGCCTGCTAGCTATACCACTTACAGGTGTAACTTTCTTTCTAATAACACATTTTCTCTCTCTCT